AATTTTGGGAATTTTTCCCTCTGGGAATGGCAGAGGACGGAGTTTCCATCCCCCAATCCTACACCTCCTTCCTGGCTCCCGTCTCCTCCTCCAAGCTCTACAACGAAGTGCGAGGCTGCCGCGAGCACGACCGGCACCCCGAGGTGAATCCCGGGAAAAGGGACGGGAATTCCGGGAATTCCGGGCGGGAAAAATGCGGGGGGGGGATGGGGGGAGGTTGGGGAATTTTTTGGGATTTTTTGGGATTTTTTTGGGATTTTTTTGGGATTTTTTGGGATTTTTTTGGGATTTTTTTGGGGTTTTTTTGGGATTTTTGGGGGATTTTTTGGGATTTTTTGGGGATTTTTTGGGGATTTTTTGGAATTCTGGGGATTTTTTGGGGGATTTTTGGGGGATTTTTTTTGCAAAATTTTTGGGGATTTTTCGGGATTTTTTTGGGATTTTTTGGGGGTTTTTTGGGAATTTTTGGGGGGATTTTTTTGGGGATTTTTTGGGGATTTTTTGTGGATTTTTTGGGATTTTTGGGGATTTTTTGGGGATTTTTTGAGATTTTTTGGAGGATTTTTTGGAGGATTTTTGGGGGTTTTTTTGGGGATTTTTTGGGGGATTTTTTGGGATTTTTTTGAGATTTTTTTGGGATTTTTTTGAAATTTTTTGGGGATTTTTTTGGAGAATTTTTTTGGAACTTTTTTGCATTTTTTGGGGATGTTTGGGGATTTTTTGGGATTTTTGGGGAATTTCTGGGATTTTTTGGAATTTTTTTGGATTTTTTGGGGAATTTTTTAAAATTTTTTTGGGGAAAATGAGGGAAAAAGAAGAGAATTTTGGGAAATTTTGGGGGGAAAATTTGGGAATTTTGGGGGAAAAAATGGGGAAAAAATTGGGGAAAAAAATTGCAATTTTGGGGAATTTTTTGGTGGGAATTTGGAGGGAAAAATGGGAAAAAATCAGGGAAAAATGGGAAAAATCAGGGAAAAATGGGAAAATTGATGGAAAATGGGGAAAAATGAGGGAAAAATGGGAAAAATGAGGGAAAAATGGGGAAAAATCAGGGAAAAATGGGAAAAATGATGGGAAAAATGGGAAAAATGATGGGAAAAATCAGGGGAAAATGGGAAAAATCAGGGAAAAATGGGAAAATCGATGGGAAAAATGGGGAAAAATCAGGGAAAAATGGGGAAAAATCAGGGGAAAATGGGAAAATTGATGGGAAAAATGGGAAAATTGATGGGAAAAATGGGAAAAAATCAGGGAAAAATGGGGAAATTGCTGGGAAAATGGGAAATGGGGAATTTGGGATTGGGAGTGGAGGAATTTTTGGGAATTTTGGGGGATTTTGGGGATTTTGCAGGCTCAGTTTGAGACCCCCTACGTGGTGAGGCTCCACAATTTCCATCAGGTGGCTCCGCCCCTTCCCTGCTTCAGCTTCCGGCATCCCAATCCCGGTGAGGAAAGTTCCGGAAAAACGGCGGGAAAAAAATGGGGAAAAATGGGGAAAAATTGGGGAAAAATCTGGGAAAAATTGGGGAAAAATGGGGGAAAAAATGGGGAAAAATTGGGGAAAAATGGGGGAAAAATGGGAAAAAATTGGGGAAAAATCCCAGAAAAATGGGGGAAAAATCCGGGAAAAATTGGGGGAAAATCCCGGAAAAATGGGGGAAAAATCCAGGAAAAATTGGGGAAAAATGGGGGAAAAATTTGGGAAAAATTGGGGAAAAATCCAGGGAAAATTGGGAAAAAATGGGGGAAAAATCCCGAAAAAATTTGGGAAAAAATGTGAAAAAAACCTGGGGAAAAATTGGGATAAATTTGGGAAAAAAAGTGGGAAAAATCCAGGAAAAAATGGAAAAAAAATCAGGAAAAATTGGGAAAAAATGGGGGAAAATTTGAGAAAAAAAGGGGAAAAACGGGGAAAAATGGGGGAAAGTTGGGGAAAAATCCGGGGAAAATTTGAGAAAAATTGGGAAAAAATGGGGAAAAATTTGGGAAAAAATCCTGTAAAAATTGGGGAAAAATCTGGGAAAAATCTGGGAAAAATTGGGGAAAAATTGGGGGTAAAATTGGGGAAAAATCTGGGAAAAATTGGAGGAAAAATGGGGAAAAATTTGGGAAAAAATTGGGAAAAATCCGGGGAAAATTGGGAAAAAAAGGGGGAAAATTTGGGGAAAAATGGGGGGAAATTTGGGAAAAAATGGGGAAAAATTGGGAAAAAATGGGAAAAAAATGGGGAAAAAAATCCGTGAAAAATATCGGGAATTTGGCTGAAAATCGAGATAAATTTACCGATAAAATTCAAATTAAAACCCACAAAAAAATGGGAAAAAATGCGGAAAAATCCGAATTTGGGTGGAAAAAACCGGGGATTTTTTTTGAGGGTGTTTTGGGGTTTTTTTGGGGGTTTTTTCCAGAAGTTTCTCCGGATAACAGCCGCTACACGGAGCTGAGCTGGCGGGTGGAGGTGGGGACGGTGCTGCACGGATTCGCCGGATACTTCGAGACGCGGCTCTACGGCGACGTCACGCTGAGTGCGGGGAAATGGGGGAAAAATGGGGAAAATTGGGAAAAAATGGGGGAAATTGGGGAAAAATTCACACTGAGTGCGGGAAAAACGGGGGGAAAAATGGGGAAATTGGGAAAAATAATGGGAAAAATTCACCCTGAGTGCGGGAAAAACGGGGGGAAAATGGGAAAAAATGGGGAAAATTGGGGAAAAATTCACCCTGAGTGCGGGAAAAACGGGGGGAAAAATGGGGAAATTGGGAAAAAATGGGGAAAATTCACGCTGAGTGCGGGAAAAACGGGGGGAAAATGGGGAAAAATGGGAAAAAATGGGGGAAATTGGGAAAAAATGGGGAAAATTGGGAAAAATTCACCCTGAGTGCGGGAAAAACGGGGGGAAAAACGGGGAAATTGGGAAAAAATGGGGGAAATTGGGGGAAATTGGGAAAAAATGGGGGGAAATGGGGGAAAATTCACCCTGAGTGCGGGAAAAACGGGGGGAAATTGGGAAAAATGGGGGAAATTGGGGGGGAAAAATGGGGAAAAATTGGTGAAAAAATGGGAAAAAAAATGAGCAAGAAAAAGGGGAAAAATGGGGAAAAATGGGGGGGAAAATTGGGAAAAAATTGGGGAAAAATGGGGAAAAACTGGGGAAAAATGGAGAAAAATAATGGGAAAAAGTGGGGGAAAATTGGGGAAAAATGGGGAAAATTGGGGAAAAATTCACCCTGAGTGCGGGAAAACGGGGGGAAATTGGGAAAAAATGGGGAAAAATGGGGAAAAATTGGGGGAAAAATGGGGGGAAATTGGGGAAAAATGGGGGGAAAATTGGGGAAAAATAATGGGAAAAAATTGGGGAAAAAATGGGGGAAAAATGGGGGAAAATTCCAGGAAAAAAAGGGGAAAAAATGAGGAAAAATTTGAGGAAAAAATGGGGAAAAATTGGGGAAAAAAATTGGGAAAAGTTTGGGGAAAATTTGGGAAAAAATTGGAGAAAAAATCGGGGAAAAATGTGGAAAAAAATGAGGAAAAAATTATTAAAAATGGGGGAAAAAATGGGAAAAAAATCGGGAAAATTGGGGGAAAAATGGGGAAAAAATAGGGAAAAAAATAGGGAAAAATTGGGGAAAAAATCGGGGAAAAATGTGGAAAAAAATTAGGAAAAAATTATTAAAAATGGGGAAAAAAATGAGAAAAAAATGGGGAAAAATGGGGAAAAATTGGGAAAAATTGAGGAAAAATGGGGAAAAATTGGAGAAAAAATCGGGGAAAAATGTGGAAAAAAATGAGGAAAAAATTACTAAAAATGGGGAAAAAAATGGGAAAAAAATCGGGAAAATTGGGGAAAAAATGGTGAAAAATTTGGGATAACCTTGGGAATTTTGGGAATTTTTTTGGGAATTTTTTGGGAGTTTTTTTGGGAATTTCCAGGCATCCGACCCGAGACGCATTCGCCGGGATTGTTCTCCTGGTTTCCCATTTTTTTCCCGATCAAGGTGAGTCGGGAACGGGCGGAAAAATGGGAATTTTGGGAAAAAAGGGGAAAATTTGAGGAGAAAATGAAAAAAAATTGGGAATTTTTGGGGTTTTCGGGAGTTTTTTTGGGAATTTTGGGGGTTTTTTTTAGAATAAAAAAGGGGAGTTTTGATGGAATTCCCAAAAAAAAAATTCCTGGAAAATTGGGGAAAAATTGGGGAATTTTAAAAGATTTGGGCTAAAAATATAAAAAAAAAAATTCCCAAAAAATAATTTTGGGATGGAACCGAACCAAAAATCCCCAAAAAATTCCAGAGGGGGAAAAAGACCAAAAATTCCCGGGAAAAACAAAAAAAATTCGGGAAAAATCCGCCAAAATTTGGGGGAGAAAAGGGGAAAAAACCGAATCGGTGACGTCATCGGCGGCCATCTTGGAAAATGGCGGGCGGGGCGGTGGGCGTGGCCATGCAAATTAACCCTTGGTGGGTGTGGTTTATGCAAATTAACCACTGGGGGTTCCGGGTGGGTGTGGTCACCTATGCAAAGCGTTGGCGGCCATTTTGGGGGTGTGGCTATGCAAATCTACCCCGGCCGCCATCTTTGGTGGGCGTGTCCATGTTAATTTCCCCTGGCGGCCATCTTGGTGGGTGTGGCCACGCCCTTACCTATTGTTGTCCATCTTGGTGGGCGTGGCTATGCTAATTTCCCCTAGTGGCCATCTTGGTGGGCGTGGCCACCCTCACAAACCATTGGTGGCCATCTTGGTGGGCGTGGCCACACCCACAATTTTCTGCCATCTTGGTGGGCGTGGCCACGTAAATTTCCCCTGGTGGCCATCTTGGTAGGCGTGGCCATGCCCTCAACAATCAGCCGCCATCTTGGTGGGCGTGGCCACTCTATTGCCCATTGGTGGCCATCTTTGTGGGCGTGGCCACATTCTCATCGTCGGCCATCTTGGTGGGCGTGGCCATGTGGCCATGTTAATTTCCCCTGGTTGCCATCTTGGTGGGCGTGGCCACGCCCTCGCCCATCGTTGGCCACCTTGGTGGGTGTGGCCACGCCCTCGCCCATCGTTGGCCACCTTGGTGGGCGTGGCCACTCCCTTGCCCATTTTTGGCCATCTTGGTGGGCGTGGCCACTCCTTTGCCCATCGTCGGCCATCTTGTGGGCGTGGCCATGTTAATTTCCCCTAGTGGCCATCTTGGTGGGCGTGGCCACCCCCACAAACCATTGGTGGCCATCTTGGTGGGCGTGGCCACAATCTTAAGCATCGTCAGCCATCTTGGTGGGCGTGGCCATCCCCTCAACAAGCAGCCGCCATTTTTGTGGGCGTGGCCACTCTATTGCCCGTTGGTGGCCATCTTTGTGGGCGTGGCCACATTCTCACTCATCGTCGGCCATCTTGGTGGGTGTGGCCATGTTAATTTCCCTTGGTGGCCATCTTGGTGGGCGTGGCCACGCCCTCGCCCATCGTCGGTTGTCTCGGTGGGCGTGTCCGCGCTGACCACGCCCCTTTCTCCCCTCCCCCCAACAGCAGCCGGTGCCGGTGAGGGCGGGGCAGGAAGTGTCGGTGGCGTTCTGGCGCGTGGCCACGCCCAGCAAGGTCTGGTACGAGTGGGCGGTGACGTCACCGGCTTGCTCCGCCCTCCACAACCCCAGCGGCCGCTCCTACACCATCGGGCTGTGAGCGGGGAGGTCACGTGACCCCTCCCCTGTGACGTCACGCGCGACGGAATAAAGCACGGCCCCGCCCCCCTCCCCCGCGGAGAGTCCGGAGTGGTTTATTTGGGGGGAAAAAGGGGGATTTTGGGGAAAATGGGGGGAAATGGGGATTTGGGGGGAAATTTGGGGATTTTGGGGAAAAAAATGGGGATTTTGGGAAAAAATGGGAATTTTGGGGGAAAAATTTGGGAATTTTGGGGAAAATTGGGAATTTTGAGGGAAATTTGGGATTTTTGGGGAAAAATGGGAATTTGGGGAGGAAATTTGGTAATTTTGGGGGGAATTTGGGAATTTTGGGGG